AAAGATCAAAACAAATCAAATATACAACGTAATATATATTTAAAAAAAAAATTACAAAATTAAAAGGAAAAACACCGAAACAAAAAATTACAAAATTAAAAAAAAAAAAAACCAGAAGAAAAAGCAGCAACTAAAAAGTCATAAATATCTCTACTGATAGAAGACATTTACAACCTTTTGGTTGCTGTTTTTTCTTCGGTGTCTCCCAACACCCCGGTATGGATGAGCCCTCCATTTAAAGGAGGGCTTATCCATTCCGCCATGATCTTTCTATTTTTTGAAGGACCTCTCTGAGAGAGGTCCCGGGTGTTGGGAGCGGTAATTTTTGTATTCTTCGAATGATAAGGAATATAAAGTTACAAATAGAAGAATATAATAAAAATTATACATTTGCAATTATTTAAAAAAAAAAATAGCATAGACTCACCATTTTCATTTGAAACAAAAGATGCTTAAAAAAAAAAAAGAGAGAGCAAATTAAAAAAGGTTAAACATGCAACATTTTGTATTTTAATAAATATATAGGGCAATAATGCAACCAGTTCAAAAGTTTCATATTTATTAATTAATTTTTCCACCTATTGCACATATTTCTCCATACAAAACATATAAAATATAAAACACAGCCCTACCAGCTATACTTCCACCAGACACTAAAGACAAATATATACTTAAATAAATATAAAATAATTGATAAAATAATGTTAACATATAAATATATACATATCTAAATAATTGTTTTACCCATCCCCCTCATTTCATCCATAAAGTTGTCTAAGAAAAAAATAAATAAAGCTAAAAACAAAACTATAAACTAAACCAAAACTATAAACTAAAGTAAACTTTAAATCTTCTAAATATTAATGCTTTATTTATTAAACTAATCATAATTTATACTTAGTTTTTGTTCCAACTTCCAAAAAAAGAAAGTATAAAATAAAGCTAAAGAACTTGATTTTTAAAAATTCCAGTGGCAGTACAAATAAACAAATTCCTATTAACAAATATCTAATAGCATTTATAAAATAAAAACACTGACTTATTTCCTTCTTCACTTCTGTATTGAAACAATAAAAGCACTTTAATGTTTAGATGTTAAAATATCGATGAAATACATATTAAATGCCACATTCAACTAATGTAATTAATACCTTTATTAGATCTCTCTTGATTAACTAAAGAATTTAAATTTTAAATAAACTCTAACTAAATTTTAACAAACAAACAACCAAAATAAATCTTCATATTAATAGTACGTTATTAAGTTGATTAATAGATCAAACAATTTAATCTACTCTAATAATCTACTACCTTATTAATAAACTTTAATTTTTTTTCTACGACTCAGTGTAACTATAATATAGATATTTTTAAAGTAAAAAAGAATTTAATATTATAATGTATATGATTTTAAAAATCTGAAATCTACCTCGAAAAAAACAGATATATATTGAAAAGTATTTTTATTTCTTTTTAAAAATTTAAAAATGCTTTATAACTTACTTGTTTCGATATTATCACCAACGTCTAAATAGAAAAACAAACAAACATTCGTCGACTCATTCTTAAATCTTATAATATATATGATTTAAAAAACCTGAAATTTTAAATCTACCTCGAAGAAAACAGATATATAATAAAAAGTATATATATTTTTTTTTTTAAATTTAAAAATGCTTTATAACTTACTTGTTTCATATTATTACCAACGTCTAAATAGAAAAACAAAGATATATGAGTTATATATATGATTTTAAAATATATATGATTTTAAAAACCTGAAACTTTAAATCTACCTCAAAGAAAACAGATATATATTGAAAAGTATTTTTATTTCTTTTTAAAAATTTAAAAATGCTTTTTAACTTACTTGCTTCAATATTGTCATCATCTAAATAGAAAAACAAACAAACATTTAAGTCAACTCATTCTTAAATCTAGTTTAATTTCTTCAATAATAAAAAAAATTTAATCTTTGAGGATTAAATTCATTTACAAAAATCCGTTTAAGTTCGTTTAAACCATTTTAACATTGTAAAGTTAATTTAAAGTTTTAAAAAACTGAAACTTTAATTCTACCTCAAAGAAAACAGATATATATTGAAAAGTATTTTTATTTCTTTTTAAAAATTTAAAAATGCTTCTAAATTTACTCCCTCCAATATAATTATATAATATATATAGTATATATGATAAATAAACCTCCACAATTTCCTTGGTTTAACAACTCGATTATGATTAATAACAACTCTGTAAACATGAATTTTCTAATAACCTAAATAAATTACAGATAGACAAACATAAACTAACACAATTAAATCCTAAGCCAAAATTCATTCATGCAATACAAATTATTTTATATTTATTGAAGAGCCAGAAACATATTCTTTTTCAAAAAGCAAAAGTATTAACAATATTAAAGATAAATTTTATTTATAACAAAATTTTCAATAAAAATTAAATTAAGATAAATTTATAACAAAATGTTGTCATGGCTTTTATCCCAATAACCAAAACTAAGTGAAAGCATGAAACTACCCATAAATATATTTTAACGCTAGACACAATTTAAGAATTAAAGTAATCTATAGCATTTATAGAATTAAATAAATATATAATCTATAGCATTATATATAATATATATAAATATATAATCTATTATATATAAATATATAATCTATAGCAAATATATAATCTATAGCATATAAATAAATAATCTATAGCATTTATAGAATTAAAGTAATCTATAGCTTTAAATTTAAAATTACAATTTAAAAAAGATTACAATAAATTAATTACTTTTAAATTTAAAAAAAAATTTAGATTACCTATAATTTTAAGCTACTAAACATTATCTACTTAATGTCAACTTAGACATTTTGAAAGTAAGCACGCGGTAAAGAAAAGTCTAGAAACTACTTAAAAAGTGTATTTTACAGATACAGAACCGTACCGTAACTATAAAACAATACGCGTAACTATGCGCATTAATAATAATATTCATAGGCTATTCATTATAGGCGGATAAAGTCATTTTTAAGTCAAATTTAACTTAATAAAATAAAAGTAAATTCACCTAAATAATGTTTCGCTTTAGCTAGAGACTTAATTTTTTTTTTGTTGGTATTTATAGACAAAATGATGCCAAATGCAGTATTCCGCATATCGAAATTCAATTTATGATATATTTTTGGGACACACATATACATATGTATGTATATGTGTGTATGTATGTATGTATGTATGTATGTATGTATGTATGTATGTATGTATGTATGTATGTATGTATGTATGTATGTTTGTATGAACATACACACAGACGCTCACACGGGGCTAATTTTATACAGTAAGTATAAAATTTGCCCTGTGGAATAATTTTGTACCATGTTTATTAGGATTATGACAAAAAAATAGTTTTTTTGGCCTAGTAGAAGGAATAAATGAATATTTTAATGCTGATTTAGAAAATCAAATTTATTTTGTTCAATTCATAAAAATGTTGCTGCACTAAGACACCTGACAACATGGTGCCTTATATTACCAAAAATATTAATAGTCTAAAAAATTTTTTTGTATTACCAATATTACAATATATTACCTTATATTACTAAAAATATTAATAGTCTAAAAAATAGTCTAAAAAATTTAAAGCTTTTAAATAAAAATCAATTTTTTCAAATTTATTGTAAAACTAATATTTTTAAACAAAAGTTAAAAAAAACTTTTTGAGACGTTTCTAAACAATATCTTCTTTAAGGTCACATTTGATAAAGATTTTCTTTATAAGATCCCTATTAAATTTCTTTTCTTTTGAGAACCAACATGATATACTTTAGGAGAAAGATATTTTTGGTAAAATATGTCACCAACCATATCATCAGGTGTCTTGGTGATTTTTAGAACTAGCTCTAATAATAATTTATTAATAATTAGTTCACAAAAGGTCATCATTTGTGACCTCAAGATAAAAAATTTTTCAAAATTTTTTTTAGTCATAACTCTAGTGTTTATACAATGTTGAGAATTTATATGGTTGTCCTTCTCTCCTTTTTCATCTCCTTCCTAATTTGAGAATCTATACTGTTGCTCCCCCCCTCATTTTTTTTCCATCTCCTCATTTAAGAGCGACCTATCATAGTTGATTTGTTTCAAAATCTGCACTGTTGTTTTAAAAATAATTCATATCTCTATTTTTTGTCATAAGGACCACTAATAAAAAGCACTCTTTAAATAACGAGAGACACTTTACAAAACATGCTAAGCAATTTATTGCAAATTTTGACTAATCATTTCTTTTTTGTTTTTTTGATGTTATCAAAATGTATTATTTTCTGATAGATTTAAAAATTATTGTTGTTATTGTAGAAATTAATTTTCTTCGTCATTTTTTTTTTTTATCTCACAAAAATCTTACAATAGTTAACATGTTTTTAACATGTTTTAAACATATTTTTAATATATTTTCTTGTAAAATGTTCAATTGGTATACATAAGCATAAGAGGTCTTTGTAACAGTTGGGCAAAACTTTATGTTAATAACTAAATTTTGGCTTTCGTAAAAATCTGAACAAATAATTTTAAATAATAAAATAAATAAAAATAAAGTTTTAAAACTTGATAGCTATATAATAATTATGCTAAAAAATCTAAACAAGGTAATTTATGCTGAAACAATTTAAACAACAATTGAAGATAACTTTTATCTTTTGAATTTGCTAAACTAACAATACTTTTTTTATATAAACAACAAACAAACAATGCTTTTTTCATATAAACTAGATTTTTCATTTTATTTTTTTATAAATGAATTATTCATTGCATAGTTGTTTGTTTAATTTTTATATAACTTTTGCTGTTATTATATATAAATATATAAACAAATATGTATATATATATATATATATATATATATATATATATATATATATATATATATATATATATATATATATATGTATATATATATATATATACACTAAAACTTTTAAAATAACATTTAGGTGTTAAAGGGTGGTACTTATTTAAGCTATGTAATGAAGAAAAGACAGTGACTGGTGGAGTCGAGTTGAATATTAGGTTTTTAAATCCTTTTGATCGAGACAATTTAATTAACTATGGCATGGGAAGGGGTTGGATTCCCAAATTTATTGTACAGCATCATGATGAATCTTGGTTGCTATCTACAGATAAAAGGCTGTGTTTTTTCATAATTTCAATCAATCTACTTTTTCTTCCTATGCAAGTCATTGACAATTTCTTAACTGAAAGAAGCTTTATTTATACTAGATACAAGTTTTACGACCAAGGTATTTTTTGCCCTTTTAAAAGATTTTTTTAAATGTTATGTAAATTACGTATTATTTTAATTTTAAAAACGACAAATTTTAACAACATACAATTTTTATAAATTTGATAAGTTTCAAATGCTCTAATTACAACTAATTTTGATTATATTTTATATTTTTAGGTGCTATTCAAAGTAGGTTTTCAGGATATAGGAGATTTAATGAGTCTTTTTTATCTGAAATCAACCATATGCACCAATTTCAATTAATACCAACTCCAACTTTAGCATGGCAAGTTTTTTTCGGATTATTTTGATCTTTTATTGCATTTATTATTAAACATTTTTCATTTTTATTTATTTTTTATTTTTATTTATTTGTAACTTTCTCTCAACCCGAAAACTTTGAAACACAAATCTCATTAAACACTGCACAGAAAAATTGCTCATCAATAAAGCACTAGTTTGTTGAACACATTGATCCAAATTGTTGAACACATTGATCCAGTTAATTTAGTCAAATTTTAATCACATTTACAAATCATGTATTTGTTATCAATAATTGTTTCTTACATTTTGTTTCAAATTCAAATATTTCTATATTTTCAGGTTCAAAACAATAGTATTTTTTTTCAAACAAAAATTAATTTAGAATTTTAATTAGAATTTAATTCAATATCTTTTTTTATATACTTATTAAATTTAAGCAAAGTGACAATATATATATATATATATATATATATATATATATATATATATATATATATATATATATATATATATATACACACATATATATATATATATTTATATATATATATATATATATATATATATATATATATATATATATATTATATGTATATATATATATATATATATATGTATATATATATATATATATATATATATATATATATATATATATATATATATATATATATATATATATATATATATATATATATATATATATAAAGATTCAACATTTAATTTCAATGGAGGTACAAGAAGAACTCCAGTCTAATATACAATCAGCTTTTAAAATTTATTAATACTTAATCAGTGCTTTTTATTTACAATCATTTTTTAAAAACTTTTTAGGTATTTAAGAGAGGAAAGTCTGGAAATTGAGTTTTGGTTAAATAATAGTAGATTAGAAAATAATGAGAATTCTGATATTTTGATTGGCTCTTCTTACATATGCTTGGAACAATTTTCTCATGATCCTTACAGTGTTGATACAATAAGGTATGTATATTATAAAAAAAGTAGGCAACAGTATATATGATCTTTCATGTATGTAGATTTTTTTTATGTATATTTTTTAGCGGGTGCTATCCGTTGTTCAGAGCTGGAAGCAAGTGTATATGTCGCTCAAATTGCAATATTACTGTTCATTTTAATGAAGATAAATCTAATTACTTCAGAAGAACTGGTACACAAACAGTTAACATTTTTTCTGATCTTTTTTCCGATCAATTTAGTGCCCAAGTTCCAGTTTTTTTGAATGACAATAAAGAAATGAGTGAGTCAATAACACCTAAAAATCTAGACGCACCAACAATATCAATTCGAATTGAAGAAGCTTTGCATCTTCCAAAAGTCAACCACAATAAAGATATTGTTTCCTTTATTTATGTATCGTACACTATTTCTGACAGGTGTGTATTTACAAATGTTATACCCAATAACAAGAATCCAGTTTGGAATTTTCAGAAAGATGAATGTTTTGATCTTAGATCACTTAAGAATCATGAATTTTCATTTACGGTATGGAGGAGCTTAAATAAGGACCCGAATTCTGAAATTGACATTCTGCTCGGAACCGTGTATGTGGATGTTTCTCCACTGTTTTCTGGTATATTTTATTCTTTCTTATTACTGTTTTATTTAGTTTTATATTTACAACTTTGACTCGTACTATTAAAATTCCACCCATAATATTTAAAAGTTCGTATAAAATGCTGGTATAATATTTTGTATATAAATAATTGTATAATTAACATTAAAAATAATAGTGTAATAATTAACTATAAATAATTCTTTAAGGTGTTAGTGTGCTTTAGGAATGCGTGAACTGTTGGGTTGGTACAATGTAAAAGACTGTAATCGACAGAATAATGGACAAATAAAAATAGGAATTGTTCCTTATGTATTGCTATCACCTTCTCACTCAGCTAAGTTTTTTAAGAGTTTTAACACTGCTGTCAGTTTTGATTTGACATCCAGTAAAAAAGATTCATATTATGATTCTAATTTAAGCAAATTAGAATTATTAGATAAACTTCATACAAATTTACAAGAACTAGACTGTATAACAAAAACTATCAGAGATTCTAGTCTGGTTAGTTATGTTTCTCCTGTTTGTAAACCACAGTTTAGTGAAAATACAAAAACTGAAAATAGTTGCATAATCAATGGCAAACATATAACAAAAACAAAATTAATCGAACCATTAAGGTCTTTGGATGTTAATCTAGATCGGCAAAAAATAAAAAATGATGGCATCTTTAATAAAGAAGAACAAAAAGTTGATGCTGAGAAACTTAGTTCAGACGAACAAAAAGTTGAGGAACTTAGTTCAGATGATGACACAGATGAGCTTATGAACCACCTTGAGGAATTTAAAAAAAAGTACAACAGGTTAAAAGAGTTTAGTAACTTAGAGTTTGAGCAAGACTGGTTAAGTGACGATGATCAAAGTGTACTACCATTAGAGTATAAAGAAGATATTCCATTTGTTGAAACTGAAAATGACGTCATTAATGTCAGTGCAAAAACTTCAGCACGTGATATTGATGAACAAGATGAAAACTCTTCTGACTTAATTCAAAATGCATATTTATTTCACTCAATGGAGAAAAAATGCCCCAAAGGTCTCAATAAATGCTGTAATCCCAATGATATATTATGCGATGATGATCAAGTTGATGCCTTGAACAATAGAAAAACATCCAATAAATCTATTGATCAGAGTATTTGTATGACTGACAGTAGCGTATCAGAAAAGGGGAGGCATGAATTTTCTGATTTACATTTACTTGAAAATAATATTCCAGAAAGTCATACTAAAGATGGCTTAACTGAAATGTATCTTTTTATTTTTTTTAATTTTAATGATTTTTTTTTTACTGTTCTGTGAACTTTATTTCTGTTCTGTGACTTTTAATACTGTTCTGTGACTTTTTTTTACTGTTCTGTGACTTTTATTTCTGTTCTGTGACTTTTATTTCTGTTCTGTGACTTTTATTACTGTTCTGTGACTTTTATTACTGTTCTGTGATTTTTATTACTGTACAGTGATTTTGTTTTTTTGCTCTGTGACATTTTTTACTGTTCTGTGACTTTTATTACTGTTTTGTTACTTTTTACTGTGCTATGACTTGTTTTTTTTTCAAAAAAAGTCCTCTATAATTTGAAATTTCATTTTAAAAGGGTCCTTTAGAAAAAATATTGGGGGGTAGGGCGTGTCCCCCTGGCTCCAGGTGGCGTCGGTCATGGCTGTGACATTTATTTACTGTGCTATGACTTTTATTGTTGTTCTGACTTTTTTGACTGTATTGATTTAGTATCAGTAGCATAAACTCCAGATCCAGAAATATGAATTTAGTTTTTCAACGAAAAACTAACTTCACATTCCTAAAGTTCAAGAACTAACTTCATATTTCTTAGAGTATTTGAATAATTTTTTTAATTCTTTTTATTTGGATTTATTAAATAAATTAAAATAGTTCAATTAATTTTAATCTTAATGTAATATAAGAAAAAAAAAACATTTTGAAATACCTAACTTCTTTATGAAATCTAATGAAATGGCAGAATCAATTAAAGCTCTTCGACTAGCTGCAAAATTTAGCCATCTACCACGTTCAAAAAATAAGGACGTCAACGAAACAAGTGGTATCGAGGTAATTAATAAATATTCTCCTGTTGACACCTTGGAGCTTGCACGGAGAGCGCAGATATTTTTATCGAAAAACAATCAAACGTGAAGTTAAATATTTTAGTTAATTTAAAACATTTTAAGAATTTTTCTTTTGATTTGTTTTATCTTAAATTGTTAATTATATTAAAATGCTTTAGCGTAAAAGCGAACCGTCATACGTTAAGACGTAAGACGTTGCCTTTCAAGATTGGCTGACATGCATCATTTAAATTTTTTACGTTCTGTTATCAAAAATTCATAATATATATCTTTATGTGTGTGTATATATATATATATATATATATATATATATATATATATATATATATATATATATATATATATATATATATATATATATATATATATATATATATATATATATATATATATATATATATACACTCTTGCATGGTAGTCAAAAAGAGTTTCCCATAAACTGTAGTTTTAAAGAGCGCGTTAATTAACCAGACCAGAAAAAGTTTAAAAACTTCAATTTTTTATCATAGACTGCCTGCCCAAACCAAACCCTCAGTCGATGTAGCAGCACTCCCTTGCGAGTCAGGCTATTTGACAGTCGTTGTAGCAGCACTCCCTTGCGAGTCAGGCTATTTGTCAGTCGATGTAGCAGCACTCCCTTGCGAGTCAGGCTATAAGATCGTCGATGTAGAAACACTCCCTTGTAGCAGCAGGCTATAAGATAGTCGATGTAGCAACATTTACGCATGTTTTAAAAATGTTTTTTAATAAAATAAAAACAAAAACACCAAAATTAAAAAAAATAATAATTAAAAAAAACTTTCTAGTCGTTATTATTGCGGTTTTTCAAAAATTTTTTAAAAAACAATAAAATTTAATGTACTTCCGCATTAATTTAATTGCTTTGACATTTCGACGACAATCAAATACAGCTTAAAGGTGAGTTTCCACTCATCCGTTTTACTACGGGAAATGGAAAGGGAACGGAAAAATAATCACGTGAGCATGCGCAGTTTTCTTTCAGACAGATGAAAACTTTTAATATGCATGCTCACGTGATTATTTTTTCCCTTCCTATCCCGTTTCCGTTAAAAAACGGATGAGTGGAAACTCGCCTTAAGAGACGAGGTAGTTAAAAATGTAGTCGAAAGAGACTTTTTTACATTAAAAGACTCTTTCGACTACACTATAAGGATATATATATATATGTGTGTGTATATATATATATTTGTAGAATAGTATGCGCCGTTTTCGTGCTTTAACAATATCATTAAAATCAATATTTAGAAAAACATCAAATCCAATTGACATTAATAAGAGACAATTCTTTCCTGCAGCATGGTAGATCGGAGCTCTTTTTTGATAAGTTTTAATTTTTTGAATGATTGCTGACCAATGCAATTTGATATCATTGAAAAAAAAATTCTCAAGGACATTTCAATATAAGGAAAAGTTGATTCCAAGTGGTCTTTCTTTATTGTGCAGTAAAATTGTGTGAATGAATATTCATCTCTTATAATGTCATCAAATATAATGTTTAAATTGCTGGCACTCAAAAATTAGTTCATTTTCATTTAAGTCTTTTTTATAAATTTGCGTTAAGTTAGAGCAACAATCTTTTATTCATTGTTTAAATGTTCAGAAGAAAAAAATGTTCAGAAGAAATCTAAAATTTTCATTGATCTTTTCATATGCAATTGATCTTTTTTCTAAATTAGATGTCTGTGAATCAATAATAAAAAAGTATGTTTCAGTTTTAGATTTTCCTGGAATTCCATTTCTTCAGATTCGCCATCAAAAAATTAATTCACCGTCAATACGTTTATTTTCTTTGTTCTTTTTGAAACATCTTTGTATTCAGTATTTAGAAGCATTATTTTGGCTTTTTCTTCAAATCCCTCAAACTGTATTCTCAAATCTTTGATAAAATTTAACATTGACTTTAGAATATGAACTGCCACATTCAGGTTTAAATTATCTTTCTGCAAAATCTTAGATGTTTCATTAAAATGACACTGAATGTCCTTCCACAAAATTTTCAAAAAAAAGTCTTAATTTTCTTTAAAATATTTTGGGCATCATTTCGGGTTTCTTTTGTATGACTTATGATTCTAGAGCTTTTTTAATCTTGATAAAAATAACTGTTATAAGCAAATGAGTAACAGCATTTGCATGCGCTGACTACCGAGTTCCATACAGCTGTTTGATAATATATTTTTCACTGCCAACGAAAGACTTATTGCGCATGGATGAGCCATTAGATATTTAAAATGCTTGAGCTTTTTGCGATAACTTAAGCCACAATGTTGGATCAGTTTCTTGATGTGTCTTTTTTTTTTTTTTTTTTTTTTTTGTAGTGTTAGAATTAGTTTAATTTGATTACGGCTACTGTTTTGGTTCCTGTTCTGATTCCTATTATGGTTTCTGCTCTGGCTTCTGTTCTAGTTCTCCTCTCCTGATTCTTGTTTCAGTTCTGGGTTTGAGTCTAATTCTAATGAAATACTGGTATTTCATTTGGTAAAGAGGGTAATCGGTAAAATGCGAACCGCGAACTGCGAACCGGTAAAATGCGAACTTTTTTGCGAACCATAGTTCTATTGGTTGTTAATGATGTAATATTTTTTATATTCCGTTTACCGTTAAATTGTTTATTTTACTATATATTTTATGGACTTCAAGCAGAAACATAAATTATATTTAATTTAAAAGAAATACAATCTAATTTAAATAAAATATTTCAAATTACACTATATTTAAATTAAAAAATTGACGAGGTAAAGTTTTTTTAAATATCATAACCTTAGTGGTCATTAAAACATAATGTCTTGGTTTGCAAAAAAGTTGCATTTTACCAGTTCGCAGTTCGCATTTTACCGACTACCGGCAAAGAGACACTTTCGTTATTTTTGTCCGATCTGATGAAACTTGTACACTGCATCAATATAAGCGTTTTAGGTTGAATGTCATGGTAATGGAAAAATATTTGGCAAACTATTAAACTATGTCAACCTGACAAGGAAACAATTAAAAACGAAATAAAAACCGCATCTTCTCGGGAGTTTTTGATAATTTTTTAATGAAACACTCCGCACAAGGGTGTTTAAAAGGGGTGTATGCACTGACACGTGTAGTATGACTATTTATTGCAAATACATTAGTTTATGCATTGGTAAATTTTACTTTGATCTACTGATATTTAATAATATAATGTTGATGTTTAATAATATTGATGTTTAATAATATTGATGTTTTAGAAAACTTTATATCTTAATAATCAACGAAAAATAGTTAGACAAAATTTATATATCACACATCTTTATATAATAGCAAATTGGCAAGACTGAAAACTGAAAACACCCAAGGATTTTTGTTTTCTTTCAATAAAAAAAGCAAGATGGGCTTGTATTATGTGGAATTTCCATCCCAGGCTAATTTGCATGATTCTTAAGATAGTTTTCTAAGTTGCACATTTCGGCTACAAAATCTCTGATGTCTTTGCCAAAATTTGATGATAGCTTCATTCCAAAACAGCTCTTAGTGACTAAAAGAAAAGATTTTAAAGTTATATAGGTTGTTTTTTTTTTTGTATATATTTTACCCTGAATTAATTGCTACCTGTTCGAAACTTCCTTAATGTTTCAATGCAAGGTATAATGTGAGGAGGACATATATCTCTAAGTTCATCTAAACATGACTTTGTGACAATTTGGTCCATCATACCCTCCTCCATTATATCCATATCTGATAACTGTTTTATTCAATAAGTAGTTTTTAGTGAACTCATCAGCCATTAGCACATCTATAACTTGAGTCACTATATGCTCAAATAAATGCAGTTTAGGAGGTGGTACCAGAGTTTCTGGATTTTCTTGTAGCAAACATCGACCAACAACATTTTTGTAAATCTGCATGCTCTTGTATTGCTCACCGTCTTCTACATACTGCAGGTACCAATCATTAAGACTTTAAAATGTTTTTAACAGGCCGGTGAATTCTTCTTACGTTCCTTCGCAATAGCAACAGGCAAACTTTTTGCCGTGCCCCTAACAATAAAAATTCAATAATATTTTTTAATGAATTTTATTTCAAATTAAAATGCTTATGCATAAATTAATTATTACAGTTTCTAATAAAATAACTTACTGAAAGACTTAACATACTGTTGATTAACTTGAGATCTGCTGCCACATAAAATTTGAGTTCATTTAATTTTGTCATCTCAATTAATCTTTCTAAGTTGTAATTGCTCTCTTGAACTCTACGTGCAATGGGCAAAATTTGCACTTTATTGACACCAGTGAGCTTAAAGGTTTTATAGTCTGCTGAAGACTCTGGATCAAAAATGTTCATTACAATTTTTAAAGACCCTCAACCACCATCAATTCCCACCCGAATAATCGACGAAATGGATTCAGATCTCTTTGATTGCATATTTCTTCTACTAGTTTCCATGGTTCAGGAACATACACGACATCTTTGGAAATTATTTCAGTTTTAAATGAAAATTTAGTGTTTTGCTTCCCTCTTTTGTAGCCAATTCCTTCAATACAGAATATACAACTCTCTAGAAAATCTTTGAACCTTTCGATTGTATGAGATACTGTAGATTTCAAATTTTATCACTCTGTCCACATGGATGCTTGATACCTTTACCCACCTTCTGATGGCAATGCGAGCAAAATGATTTATTAAGGTCTACAGAATTACTTTGTTTACTTGACGTTTCATTTACAAATTCTGATAGGTTTAATTTTTTATGGCTTCTTCAATCTTGTCCAACCCTGCAAATCGGACATTCACACAATGATCTATCTGCAAAAACTATTCTTTCCAGTTTGTTTAAAACAAATGTACCTTTTTTCCAGGACTCTTCCACTGATTTACTAATACTCAAATTGTTCTATAAAGTTTTTAAAATTAGAAACTTTTAGATAATTTTGTATCAAGCCTAAAAATGCATATTACAACATTGTACAATTTCATATTACAATGCATATTACATATTATGCAAAAAAACCTTATTAGCTATACATCCCTTCTTTAAATACAAACTTTTAACACAAGTGCCACAAATGCCAGGTGGATGAGAATTCATTTCTATATTAAAACCATGATTCAAAAACTG